CCCCCGTCCCCTCCGCTCCTGTGGCTCTGCCTGGAGATCCAAGCGTGTCCTGCTCTTCCCACAGGCTGGGCGACTTGGGAAGGATGTATGGATACAACCCCAGCCCTCCCAAGCTGGAGGGGATCCGGAGGCCGACGAGCAAGACCGCGCTGCTGCAGAGCAAACGGCTTTCTCTTGCCTCGCAGTCCACCACGGATGTAAGCAGAGATCCTTGGGGATGGGATGGGATGGGATGGGATGGGAATCCCAGGCCTGAGTGGGAAGGGATGGGCCTGGCTCTGCCCCAGCTCCAGCCTGGTTCAGTGGAGACCTTGAACCTTACATTGGGTTGTTTCTCTGCGCTTTCATTCCCAGTTGGACACCAGGACAGGGCTGTTGGTCTGTGGTGGTGAATCCCTGGGGGGAAGCTGGTTTCCTTCTGGAAGTGGGGACCCTTTGTGGTTCTGAGAACCCCAGAAACAAGAGGCCACGTGGGCCTTGGGCCGTGTGTTGTGGGGGGATGTAGCACCTTGGTTCCCGCCCCGGGGACACGGTGCTCAGCAGAGCCTGCTCTTTGCTTTGTGGTGTCTCTCCCTTCCTCCCCGATGCCAAATGCTCTCCCTGCCCCAAGCTGCACCCAGGAGCTGGGGGTCCCTTTGCACAGGACGTGCTGACCCTGTCGAGCAGCACCGACAGTGAGGGTGAGACCGGCCCCGCGGCGGCGGGGCAGGCCCCGGGCACCAACGACAGCGACGACATCCAGACCATCTCCTCGGGTTCCGAGGAGGAGGAGGGGGACGAGAAGAAGAATCCTTCCTCAGGGTCAGGTGAGGACCATGGGCTGGGGCACAACGAACAGGTACAGTGGGGCAGAAGCCACCAGAAAGGCCTCGTGGGGATGTCGCGGTGAGCGTGGTGTGTCCGGCTCCACGTGCCTCCGAGCTCTGTGTCACCAACCAAGGGCTGAAGCTTCCCCATGGCTTGGTTGGGCCGTAACTGCAAAGCCCAGTCCCCAAGTGCTGGATGTTTGTGGGGAGGTGAGAAGAACCAGCTGTGAGGCTCGTTGGGTCAAGTGGAGAGCTGGGAGATGCCCCAGGGCCAGCCCAGGGTGGGTTTAGATCCAAGCTGTGTAGAATCATGGAATGGGTTGGGTTGGAAGGGGAGCTAAAGCTCATCACCTCCCACTGGAGCAGGTTGCTCCAAGCCCCTGTGTCCAACCTGGCCTTGAGCACTGCCAGGGATGGGGTGTTTGAAGTCAGTGTGTGTGGACTCCTCTTACGGAACACTCTGGTGGTATCTCCTCTCCTGGGGCAGGTCCCATGAAGAGGCAGGTGGCTGTGAAATCCCCCCGGGGCTTTGCCCTCAAGTCTACCCACGGCATCGCCATCAAATCCACCACCATGGCCACGGAGAAGGGCGAGAGCGCGCCGGTGCGCAGGACCACGCGCCAGTTCTACGACGGGGAGGAGTCCTGCTACATCATTGATGCCAAACTGGAGGGGAACCTGGGCCGCTACCTCAACGTGAGTCACCTCGGGGGGCAAAGGGGTGTCTTAGGGGGTGACCTGTGCTGTGGGGGGGCCCGTTTCTCCCCACGGTGAGAGAAAATAGGTAGAACATCGGGGCTGCTCAGCTGAGGCTGCTGGAGAGCTCAGAGCAGCTTCCAGGGGCTGAAGGGGGTACCAGGATGCTGGA